GGTATTCAGGACCTACCCAGTTAGCAAAATTTGTCTGGCTCACTTGTGGGCCACATCCTTGGTTTGTTCTGGCCCAGTATACAGCTTGGTCCTCGGCCCAGATCTGGCCCACACACTGTAAAGTGAGTAGAACTAAAGGATACGGCTCAAATCTGGCCCCAGTCTGGCCCGACTACATTATTGGTCCACAACATTCACGCCAGTATACGGCTTGGTCCTCGTCCCAGATCTGGCCCACACACTGTAAAGTGAGTAGAACTAAAGGATATGGCCCAAATCTGGTCTCAGTCTGGCCCAACTACATCGTTGGTCCACAATGTTCATGCCAGAATTGTCCCACAAATGTAGGCATGAGGCAAAACAGTGTGAAGCTGTCCAGGATCTGGCCCTGTTCTGGCCCGCATGCCTGACATCTACTCGGTAGTCAACCAACACTCACATAGGAAAGCCAGAATCGGCCCGAAACTGTCTGCTATCTGGGTAATTAGTAACCTGAGTGGACCATTCAGAAACCCTTAATGAGTGTAGCCTTATTGGAAGGATGTACCAGCTTAATAAAGTGTGCTAGCCACAAGCTAACATGTTAGCGCCGAGATAACACATTAGCCATGAGCTAACACGCTAGCTGCCTCAACACAGTGCTTTATGACACAATACAATACGCTGCTGGCAGTAGCAGCCGCACTGAAATCATAGTTAACACAACAGCGCTCGCCTCTGAGTGGCTGAGTGGGGGCGGCGCTGGTTAAATTAGCTTTTTCGCTGAACTCCCGCTTTAAGGTTCCCAGCGAGGCAGCTGTGTATTTTGTCGGAAGTCTCCGGGGGTCGCAGGAAAATGGCAGGTATTAAAAACGGACAACCGGCAGCGGAGGAAGAACAAGAATGGACGTCTTGTGAAATCTAAGTCTTTTGTAGTGGAGAAAAGCACTACGGGCCATTTATCAAAGCAAGCGCGCTCAACCACTCCGCCAAACCATTAGTGTTACACAATACACAATGGATTTTCATCACTTTCTCCAGCACGGCTTCTCTCTTTCCTCGACCAGCTACATCACAGGGAGAAGAGCTCAGAGCTTTCTGTTTTCTTTAAAGAGAAGAGAAAAGCCCGAGTGAAACCGAGAGGAGAGAGAGAGAGAGAGGGAGCGAGAGTGTAAAAGCACTGCTGGGAGCAGTAACGAAATCATCGCCACTGTAAAAAAGACAAAATTTTTACAACGTCCCGCGTTAAGGTGTGAGGTCTCCGCAAATCAGGTTTCTGAGAAATAACCTCAGGACTAATGAATCGAGCGGCGCAGACGTTCCGATGAGTCAAAGTGCCTGGAAACAGGCTGCGAACGGCAATAAAGTCCTAACTGTAACGGGAAACACGTCACACGTGTTCCCGGGTTGAGAGAACAGAAGGGTCAGCTGGAGTTCGTCTGACAGGAACTGTTAACAAGTTGTTTTGAGAAAAGGCCAAAATCATTCGTGCTGCTGTACGATGCTGAAGTCAAGCAGCGGCCGACCTGCAAAAAATCCGACTTATACAGTTCTCTCCTTTACCTGAAACGTAGCGGTGTAATGCAGAAATGTACTAGTAGTGTTCTCGGCTATTCTAGCATACAATGGTTTATTTATGTCGCTGTTGTTGGGAGAAAACCTCGTATCTCCAAAATGTTAACTTTACAGGAGAAGGAAAAAACATACTCTACTTTTAATGTAAGTCAATGGAACCAGAATGTTTTTCCAAGTCATTTTGGGTCGTTTCTTTTGGTCCATTCATCATGAAATTTACACACGATGTAAAAAACAACAGGTATTTTCAAATTATATCAAAAACTGAAAAACATCTGACAACAGCGATATATATATTTACATATATTCTTATGATAACTGCCATATATATGTGTATATACATATAAGGGACACCCTTCTATCCAATATATATATATGTTGAGCTGTTAGCTTCCAAGCTCCACACTAACACTGAACTTAACAGCAACCAATAAGAGACATGAATGAGCTTTAAAATCATTTTTTTAAGAAAACTCAACAAAATATGGACAAACTTCAGGATTCAGGACGATGCTTAGTATTGTTAGCATTGTTCTGAGCTGTATGAGCCTGATTTAGTCCATTTTTAGCATATTTTACTATGAGAAAACACCTAAGAAAGTCTATCAGGGATTATTTAACAACTCGACACAATGTGAAGGTAGTTAGTCGTGACGTTAATTGGTACACATTAGCGTCCATTAGTCGTCAGCCACATCTCGCAGCTCCAGCACAACAACGTAAAAAAGCAACTTCAGACATGAAATATGTCTCGGCTCATCGACTTTCTTCTAGGATAAAGGGAGAAATCTGTGTAAATTTGATTTTTTTTGCTAAAGTATCCCTTCAAACCTTCACACTAGGACGTTTACCGATGTAAATGAGATCTAATGCTTGCGTCGAAAGCCTCTGGTCAGCAGTGCATTAGCTTAAACCACTAAAACCCTGTTGAGGACATTAAATGCCTGCCTTACACTCCCTCTGCTTGTGCATTCACCCTGCCGGCATGGCGGAGAGGAATGCTTATACAGGTAAATTAGAGACTCTTGTTGGGGGCCATCAAGGGCATGAAGAAACACGTGTCCACGCACAATAAATCCCGGGCTAACAATCCGCTGCGCCGACGCATCCAGCGCTCCGGGGTCTGATCCCTCCCTTCCTCTGCCCGAGCGTCTGCTTTAAGATATTCATGAAAATCCGAATCCCTCTTGAAGATTACTATCTTCCCCTTCCATCTCAGCGCACCCTCGTTTCTCCGGGCCGTTTGCGAACCTTCCCCGCATTAATGCAGCGCGAGTCGGAGCGCGGCGACGGAAAAATAAATAAATAAATAAAAAACAAACGAATAACATTTATAAACAGAGTAACAAGGCAGTGCATATGCAATAAAGCTGGGACAGCGGAGTTCACGAAAGGCCACCGATGTTTTTTCCTCAAAACAAACATCAGCCCACATTAACATACAACATGTTGCTCCTGGTAAGGATAAGAGAATTAAAAGGCCGGAGTCCACTTTAGCTAGAAATAAGAGAGTAAAAAAAACTGAGCGTGAGGACAGAGAGAGAGAAAGAGATGTGGGGTCAAAAGGTCAGGGTGAGAAATGGTAATACCACACAGCGCCCCCTGGTGGTGGGGCAAATATATACACCGATCAGGCAAAACATCATGACCACCTCCTTGTTTCTACACTCATTGTCCATTTTATCAGCTCCACTTACTATATAGGGCACTTTGTAGTTCTACAGTTACAGACTGTAGTCCATCTGTTTCTCTGATACTTTGTTAGCCCCCTTTTACCCTGTTCTTCAGTGCTCAGGACCCCCATGGACGCTCACAGAGCAGATGCTATTTGGGTGGTGGATCATTCTCAGTGCTGCAGTGACACTGATGTGGTGGTGGTGTGTTAGTGTGTGTTGTGCTGGTCTGAGTGTCACTGCTGGACTGAGAATAGTCCACCAACCAAAAATATCCAGCCAAAAGCATCCTGTGGGCACTGTGCTGTGACCACTGATGAAGGACTAGAGGATGACCAACACAAACTGTGCAGCAGCAGATGAGCTATCGTCTCTGACTTTACATCTACAAGGTGGACTGACAAGGTAGGAGTGTCTAACAGAGTGGACAGTGAGTGGACACAGTGTTAAAAACTCCAGCAGCACTGCTGTGTCTGATCCACTCATACCAGCGCAACACACACTAACACACCACCACCACGTCAGTGTTACTGCAGTGCTGAGAATGACCCACCACCCAAATAGCACCTGCTCTGTAAGGGTCCATGGGGGTCCTGACCACTGAAGAACAGGGTAAAAGGGGGCTAACAAAGTATCAGAGAAACAGATGGACTACAGTCTGTAACTGTAGAACTACAAAGTGCACCTATATAGTAAGTGGAGCTGATAAAATGGACAATGAGCGTAGAAACAAGGAGGTGGTCAGAATGTTATGCCTGATCGGTGTAATTAAGTACAGCACATTTTGTTAAACTTTTAACACAACCACTGCGTTATCACATTGAACACAGGGAGTAAATACATTACCGCGATCTGTGACGGAGCTGCGTCAAGTGCTTTTGACGTAACAAGCTCAAAACGTTGGGTCAAACTCATTAAATGCAGCTCAGTTATTATCAGTTTACACTGTAAAAGCTAAAAAATGATAAAAATCTGATGTTTTAACACAAATTTCTGGTTTCCCAGAAGCCCAAAAAAGGATTTTAAACTGTTTGTCGCCCTGAAATTTAACTGAATTTCATCTAATACTAGACTGAAAAGGGAATTCTACCAATTCTTTGGAAAAATTCTGCCTAATTCCATCACTGTTGCGAAAATAAAGTCATTCAGAGTGGTTTGGTGTGAAATGGTTCAGATGTCTTTACAGTGGTGGTGATAGGAACCAGGGGTCACCATGACTACAACACAAATACAGCCATTTTATTTACTATTCAAAACCACCAGTGAACCTACACGAGTCTTCTGAGTTTATATGGAATGTTGATGAAGATAAAATAGTGGAAAATCTGAAATAATAAGATTTCTTTAAGCACTATTTGGCCATATAACACCCTGTAGGTATCCCTCCCATCAATGGATCTTAATAATAAGGCATATTAGGCCAGAATTATCTCAAAATTATCATAAGAGCATCAGGCAGTGAATTCATAACCATTTCATGTAGTAACTTTCCGTGAGGGAGCTTTTAGAGGTGGACGTCTGGTTCCTATCACCACCACTGTGAACAATTCTGACTCGGTAAGTTTCTCTAGAACGAAGCATTTCACACCAAACCACTCTGAATGACCTTGTTTACACCTGAACGATGACATATGCTGAAATGTGGAAATTTGGGTGGAATTCCCCTTAAATGTATGGGAAACTGGCTGAAAAAAGTGTTCAAACAGTGACAACACAAGAGGTGCGCTGTTAAAGAAGGCATCAGTCTGAGATTGTAGGATCATACTGCAGTACCTGAGCCTCTGGAAGAGCCACGTCCATGATGTGTGGTTGCCCTCGCGGTTCTCCGTTCTCCAGCCGAGAGAAAATCACCTGGTATCCTCGGATCTGACCGTGCTGCTTTACGGACAGCGGCGGCTTCCAGGTCACCCGGATGGCCGTGGAGTTCAGCGCCTCAACCTCAACCTTGCGTGGAGGGGCGCCAGGCACTAGAACGAGAAAATTAATGATGTCATAAAATTATCCATTATCTATCTATTCATTAACTATATATATATGTTTTGGGGAGCAATGCCACAGAAAAACATGGGACCTATGTGCAGACCTCACTGTAAGCCACCACTCTGCTGGTTTTAAGGTTCTCCGCTACAACTCTGGCCCAGTCCCATTTCACCCCTCGCCCCTAACACCTAGCCCTACCCCTCTGTTTTAGCATTTACGTCTAGGGGTAGGGTGTCCCGATTCTTGTTGAGATAGAGGGGAGGGTGAAAGTGTTTGGGCTACATGACCCTCCAAAAGGAGGTTTTTCAGAGACTCCAAACAGAGAGTTATGAGAAAAAAAAACCGGTAAGATGGCTGAACAAGAGACCAAATGTGGGAATTTTCTCTGTTAAAAATTACGATAACCACTGTTTTATCTTAGCTTAACATTGTTTCAGTGTATTTTGGTCCTTTTCTTCACAACAAGGTCAAAAAAATCGCTGATAGTATGCTAATGTCTCGGTAGCCAGCTTGCTAACTTTCCCATTCCACCTTAAATAGTCCAGCGTTCTGACGCCTGAAGCGCCAGAATGTAACTGCTGCTCCATTTAAGGTGGAACGGGAAAATTCCAACATGAAGCTGGTGAATATCTTCAGCTTCATATCACTGAAGAATTAGGGGTGGGTGATAATAAATAATTGCCCCCCTCTTTGAAGGCATATGATGCCCTAAATGTAACTAAAGCCCAGCAGTGAGGAGCTGAACTTTACCCTCCTCTGCTGTCACTGCAGACTGGCAGGGTCGCCTACAGAGCAGCACTGGTAGCTGTTAATGAAGTGATGCTCTTTTTATTTGAGGGTCCCATTTCAGAGGGAAGATTTCAACCACTACCCTGTAACTCAGTTCCAAGGGGTAAGGAGACACTCGAAAATGGGGTAGGGGCAGAAATGAGAAATGGGAATAAAGAACCTCCACATAATGCAAAGAAGAATCCTAATATTGGTCTAGAACCTTTGCATTATTTGAGGGCTCTAAACCCTTAAAGAGACCATATCTTATATTTTTCTAGCATGTTATTTTCCCCCCAGAAGTCTGTCCTGATTGGCTGTCCTGTATTGTGCATAATTCTGTAAGCTGTATGGCCGGAAACACTCCTTATAACTTCAGTGTGAGTGGGCGGGGCTCAACTGCTGTAGGCTGAGAAGGCGGATGTATGGGAATTACGCGACATCACAGAAACACTGAATTCAAAACGAGCTGTTTTTGCTGTATATGAACTGAGGAGTGAAGTCAATTTTGAAATTTTAAAAAATGTTCACTATTTCACACTTTAATTTCAAAAAAGGGAGGAAATTTCATTTTTCTGATTTGGGCCCTTTAAATTGGTATAGAACATTACATTTTGTGATGGGTCTATAATCTTTAAAAGGTTCTTCACACTCAGATCTCCAAACAACCGTCCACTGAAGTTTTTTTAGTGAACCGAAGGTGCTTTTTTTATGGCATCACTCCAAAAAACATTTATGGCGCACCTTTTTTTAAGAGCGTATGTTATAAACAGCATATAACACGGGTCATTTGGTGAGAAAGTTCACTCGAAGGGTCATTCCAGGTCACTTTACAGTTACAATTAGAGAAAACAAATAAAAAAAAGAGTTAACCAAGCAGGAAGAGAGGTGAAAGTGCTGAGGGAAAGTGTTAATTTTATGTTAAAGGAGAAGAGCAGTGATGGAGGGATGGCATTAAAAGGCAGCCTGTTCTCAGAAAGCAGCAGCAGAGCAGAGCTGGTGGAGCCGACAGGTGTAAGGCAGGTCAAGGCCGTGTGGTGCTTTATAACGTGAGAAGTGAAGGAGCAGCAAAATAGCCTTTTGTGTTTGAATGGGCTCTTAAACCCACAAATAACCCACAGACGCTGCAGATTCAGGTGTAAGTGCATTTTTCTGTTTTCAGCAGTGCTTCACATGAACCGATGTCCCTTTAGAGCCTTTCTTCACCGCTGCTTCAAACTAGCGTCGCTTTTGTTCTGCGTTTTTACGAAGGAAGAGGTTCCAAATTAAAAACGCCACCAAACACGACAACCGATTTATCTAAAGATGAGTATTACTATCAGGTGAATATCAAGCAGAGGGGGCAAAATGTGATATCACGATACTTTAGTATGTGTCACGATATTTATTTTTTCTGACATCTGATAAGTTAAAAACGACAAAGTAGTGCCACATTTTAAAAATACTACCAAAATCTATGAATCCAATTACTTGTACTGAACATTTCACACACTGTGCTGCATTTATTCCAGTTAAACAAGACTAACCGGCCACTTTTTAATCAAACAAGCAGTTGGGGAGCGATTCTGTGACATATTGTGATGTAATTTATCACAATAACAGTAAATACTGCAATATTGCCCAGCACTCTTAAAAAGAAGGGTTTTCAAGGGTTCTTTAGTGAAGACAGTGGTGCTATATAGAACCATGAACAATCAAAGAACCCTTTGCATGATTAAAGGGTTCTTCGCATCATGAAAGCCTTCTTCAGATTGATGTAAAATGCGCTGTTGACGGTTCTACATAGCACCAAAAAGGGTTCTGTTAGTGTTACAGTTGAAGAAGCCTTTTTGGTGCCATATAGAGTCCTTTTCAAAAAGGTTCCATATAGAACCATCTATAGCGCATTTTACATCAATCTGAAGAACCATTTCATGATGCAAAGGGTTCTTTGATTGTTCATGGTTCTATACAGAACCACTGTCTTTACTTAAGAACCCTTAAAGAAACATCTTTTTTAAGCGTGAACTGGTTAGACTGGGAAAGTGCTGTCAAGAACACAGTGACAGTGCTGTCTCTCCAGGTGGGTTGGGTAGGTAGGGTGGTCACCCCCTGATAAGCCATTTCTACCTTACTTATTGCATGCTAGTTATCTTCTCCAGCGTCCTTCAAAACCACAACAGATTACTGGGATTTGCAGAGGAGACATAAACAACCTTGACCTTCCTTTCGGAGTATTAAAGAAAATTCTGTCTCCACATCCAGAAGGGGCTCCTAATCCAGACAAGCAGCAGGAAGAATACAGTCTACCTTTACAGGAAGAACAAGGAAAAGCTGATTTCGGCAGTGCGGAGGGGCCGCGGGATCAAGGACGGCGAACGGTGCGGTGCAGATAAACGTGCAGAGTTGTTAATTATAGCAGGGAAATCAGCTGAGTTGCAGCAACTTCAAACATATTAATTATAGACGAAGGCCTCCTGGGAGCCAAGAGAAGATCTTCAGTTCACGACAAAAGAAGCAGAGCGAAGAGAGACATGAGAAGCTGTGGGGCGCTGAGTGCTCCCTCACTCTGAGGAGAACGGGCACGACCCCAGAAACAGGGAGGGAGGGGGGAAAGGTGGGGAGGGGGGCAGGTAAGACAGCAGTGGATAACTGATCGATTAGAAGGTGTGTGACTCTCACATTACAACTAACCATTGATGTATAAAAGGCTGTTAACCCTGAAAAAGTCAGTAAATTACTGAATTACTCTTAGAAATTACTGAGTATTAATAGTAGATTAATTACTGATTACGTCATAGTACATACTCAAAAATGAAGGTTCTTCAAGGGTTCTTTAGTAAAGAAAAGGGTTCCGTATAGAACCATAAACATTCAAAGAACCCTTTCCAAGAGTTCTTTGAGTGTTCATGGTTCTATGTAGAACAATTTTCTTCTTTTGTCTTCCTTGAAGACAATAGCAGATACTGAATCATTCATAGTAGATACTGAATAATGCATAGTACAAACTGAATCATTGATAGTACAAACTGAATCATTCATAATAGATACTGAATCATTCATAGTAGATACTGAATAATGCATAGTAGATACTGAATCATTCATAGTACATACTGAATCATTCATAGTACATACTGAATCATTCATAATAGATACTGAATCATTCATAGTAGATACTGAATAATGCATAGTAGATACTGAATAATGCATAGTAGATACTGAATCATTCATAGTACAAACTGAATCATTCATAGTAGATACTGAATCATTCATAGTAGATCCTGAATAATTCATATTACATACTGAATCATTCATAGTAGATACTGAATCATTCATAGTAGATCCTGAATAATTCATAATAGGTACTGAATCATTCATAGTAGATACTGAATAATTCATAGTAAATACTGAATCATTCATAGTAGATACTGAATAATGCATAGTAGATACTGAATCATTCATAGTAGATACTGAGTAATTCATAGTAGATATTGAATCACTCATAGTAGATCCTGAATAATTCATAATAGGTACTGAATAATTCACAGTAGATCCTGAATAATGCATAGTAAATACTGAATCATTCGTAGTAGATACTGAATGATTCATAGTAGATACTGAATATTTTTTAACAGGTACTGAATAATGCATAGTAGATACTGAATACTTCATAGTAAATACTGAATAATTCATATTACATACTGAATCATTCATAGTAGATACTGAATCATTCATAGTAGATCCTGAATAATTCATAATAGGTACTGAATCATTCATAGTAGATACTGAATAATTCATAGTAAATACTGAATCATTCATAGTAGATACTGAATAATGCATAGTAGATACTGAATCATTCATAGTAGATACTGAGTAATTCATAGTAGATATTGAATCACTCATAGTAGATCCTGAATAATTCATAATAGGTACTGAATAATTCACAGTAGATCCTGAATAATGCATAGTAAATACTGAATCATTCGTAGTAGATACTGAATGATTCATAGTAGATACTGAATATTTTTTAACAGGTACTGAATAATGCATAGTAGATACTGAATACTTCATAGTAAATACTGAATAATTCATAGCGGTTACTGAATAATTCATAGTAGACATGGCGGCTATGTTTCGTGGGTATGCTCTTTCTCCTTCTTACTTTGCTAACCTTTGGTCTGTTTGCCTCTTAACTAACTTTGCGCAGGTGGGTAAATCAGCTCCTTGCTATGTTTTGAATCTGTTTGCTTCAGATAATCAATGCTAATTAACATTAAGTTTCTAATCAATAGAAGGTTCATCACTCACAGGATACATTACTGTTATCTAGCTAAGACAACAGGATGTCAGCAGGACTAAAAGTTAAGCTTGCTAGCTTCCGATTCCAGTGAGGAGTAAAACATGACAACTGAGGTCCCAGAGAGGGGAGCGGACGGGTGGGGTGACCCTCAGACAAAAAAGAGTAACGAAGAGAATGAACAAGGGTGAGAAGGGGAAGAGAAATGGGATGAAAGGAGCAATGAAAGGGCACCAAGGGCAACAAATGAGCAAGAAAAATGGAGAGAGAGACTGAAGTGGACAAAAGAGAGTCGCCGCTCTATTCTGCCGTTGGACTGAAGGGTGTGGGACGAAGCCTCGGCCGGGGAGGAGAGAGAGCGCAGTGTGTAAGACAAGCCTCGCACGCTCAAAGGAGCGAAGCAAATCCTGTTATTCAGAGACAACCCCGCGTGTCGTCGGCTGAAGGGCCGCATCCGGAATTAGGCAAAGAGGCTGAGGCTCTCCGCTGTTTGATTGGGTTCCTACTTCATCAAAAACAAACGGAGGCTGAGGATGCAGCGGTGACGCTAGCTTTCAGAGAACCTCCAACGCTAACTAACCCCGTCACGATTCGCTTTGCGTCGCAATTGTAGAAAATGCGTCTGAGTGGCGGTAAATCTCATTGGAGAGCAAAGAAAAGAGCAGCTCTGAGGCAGAGTGGACAGGAAGCTCCTGGCTTCTGGGATAAGATGTTGACGGGGTTAGCGGCTCAGAGAGGATGGAGATGATGTGGAGGTGGGAGCCGTAAGAAGCTCGTAGAAAAGGAGCACGGAAAGACAGAAAGACAGGGGGAGGCGTTTAACCCCTTAAGGCCTCAGCGTACTATGAGGGCTGTGCGAATGCGCAAAGCTCACAAGCTCACAAACGTTCTGTGGTTTCGTGTTGCCTGTCACGTATGCTCCACTAATGCAGGTGACATTTTAGAGATGGGACCAATCCGATCCTACATCGGTATCGGGACCGATATTGACATGATTCACTCATCGGATAGCGGACGTACAGGGCCGATCCACTCACCGATCCATATTCCAGTCCGCAGCTTGTGCTGAGCCATGAACCCATGGTAACATAACATAACATGAAACATCCCCGATCCAGATCCCATTCCACATCTTACCATGAACCTACGGCAACTTCGATCTGTAATTGAGTGAGCAAATAACATCAGCTGTTGGTCTGACTAAAATGTGGTTTGTTTGGAGATATTTTAGTCTGGAAATGCCAAAAAGAAAAAGCAAGACCGCTACTTGTAATGCGTGTGAGGCCAGTGTCCTGCAACCATTTAAGGTGAAACAGGAAAATCTGGACAAAAGGCAAACTTCGGCCTTTAGGAGTCGCAGTTATCACTTTCTGGTAGCTTATTAAAATCAAAATAAATTCTATTTTATTTTTCTTATTTTTACCCCCAATTTGGCCAATGACAGCCATTAATCTACCACACAATGCCACCAAGCTGGGGGAGTCAAAGCTGGCATGAGCTTCTTCCGAGACACAAGAAACTCCACCACATCTTTTCAAACATCCCTGAAGCTCAACACGCTTGGAGGAGAACACTAACTGCTAATTCTGTTAGGTCAGCTGATAAACGCCAACGTTGGCTAGTATCACGCTGAGAGACGGAGTAAAAGCGAGATCAAACGTGCACTTCTGGAGTCTCTGCTCAACTGTTCAAAGAGTTTGATGGTTATGGTCTAGATATGAAGTGGCAGAACATCTAGAACACCTATTCTGGCCTATCAGCCTTATACTGAGAGTCTATTACTCCTTATAAATGTGCCTCAGGTCTTCATCTAGGAACAGATCTCGATTCCCTAAGCCTTCTCCTCTGAGCTGACCTGGAGAGCTTCACAAGAAGACCAAATCCTTCCAAACTTACAGAGCTACACACTTAAAAATTACGGTTCTTCAGAGGTTCTTTAGTGAAGAAAATGGTTCTATATATAACTATGAACACTCAAAAACCCTCTGCTTGATTAAAGGGGCTCTTTGCATTGGGAAAAGGGTTCTTCTTTTGTTACAGGCTTGACATCGTAACAACAGGAGAACCCTTTTTGGTGCTATATAGAACTCTTCTCAAAAAGGTTCTACATAGAACCGTATACAGCACATTCTCCATCAATCTGAAGAATCCTTTCCCGACGCAAAGAGTCCCTTTAATCAAGCAAAGGGTTCGTTGAGTGTTTATGGTCCTAAACAGAACCATTTTCTTTACTAAAGATCCTTTGAAGAACCATCATTTTTTAAGAGTGTACTAACGTACCATCAAGCTGATCGATGCCTGGTCGACCCAGGTGATCATCGATTCCTTTTGGAGGGTTTGTGTTGGAGAACCCCTCAAAGAAATCTCTCGACAAGCTAGAGAAGCAGGTTCTTCAAGAAGAGTATGTCAAACTGTATGTTGAGAAGTTTAAATGTCGATCCCTCTCCTTACTGTTTGACCGCCTTACTGAGGTCAAGACGTCTTAAAACTGGTTGCTAACAGTGGATGACCATCAGCAAAAGTGTGAAAAGACAACAAAACAGTAGAAATTTGAGAAACACAGGTTAGAAGTAGGACAGTGACCACACCACCTAACTCAGGACAAGCTGAGCAGCGTCCAAAGCCTGGACACTCCACAGGTCTTACAAAGCAACACCAAAGACCTTTAGAGACACCATCCCTTCAGGATTCTGGGTTAGCGACAGCTGGGCGTCATAAAGCAATCATGGGCAGGTCAACCACAGATAGCCAGGCTACCACTGATTAGCTTAAGCTACCAAAGCATGGACGAGCAGCTCTGACAGCTAGCCAGGTTATTCAGCTAAAATCATTAGCTAGGCTACCACTAATGTTAGTGAAGGTATCGATAGTAAGTTAGAATCAATAGCTAACCTGCTAGGTAACCTCAACTAATCACTAACATCACCCAATAAAAAACTGATGGCGATTTTAAGGTGCCCACCTAGTTTATGCTGACATCACTGACAGTGAATATCACACTAGCTTAGATCATCAATGAAGACCACTGATCACTGATGATCGGTGACAGAAGATGAAAGGCATTAGCTGTGAACAGGAGGAGGTTAAGCACAGCGGGAAACACAGGTTAGGAGTCAGACCCTCTGGAGAAAACGAGGACGGATGAGGAAGTTTGAGGTGAGAGTCCAGCAGGTATCAGGGCTCTCACGTTGTTTGTTCAGACCTACCGTCTTCTTTGGTTCGGGCGCGTACGGGTGGGCTCTCGGGGCCGGGGCCCACGTCAGTGTGAGCCCTCACACACACCTGATACTCCGTCCACTTCTCCAGCCCCTCCAGCACGTGGCTGAGGGCGTCGGCCCCGATGTCCTTCACCTCGTGCCGCTCGGTGTCCTCTCCGCTCACCGCCTGGTAGCTAACGCTGTAGCGCACGATGGCGCCGTGGCGACTGGCCGCGGGCGGAGCCACCCAACTCACCTTAATGCTGGTGGAGGTCAAGCTCTCCAGGCGGACGTCCTGAGGGGGGGCGGAGGGGGCTAAGGGGGAGGGGGGCAAAGCAAAGGGGGGGAGGGCATCAAGCAAAATTAAAACAACACAAGGCAAGCAGGACGTCTGGGCTGGGGGGTTTTTGACTGGACGCCGTCTGAGGTACATTCTTTAGTTTTAGTAGCTTATAACCAGTTAGCATTGCGCTACATGCTCTCACTCGGCTCAAGTCATGAGGAGGTGTTCAGAATCTCGATTATGTGGTTTCTGACGCTGTGTGACTCCCTTTAATATATATGTATATATATATATATATATATATATATATATATATATATATATATATATATATATATACATGAACATGGACTAAAGCATCATGAAACCTAAATTTTGTCCCTATTTTCGTCCACGTACACCGATCAGGCACAACATCATGACCACCTCCTTGTTTCTACGCTCACTGTCCACCATTTTATCAGCTCCACTTACTATATAGGTGCACTTTGTAGTTCTACAGTTACAGACTGTAGTCCATCTGTTTCTCTGATACTTTGTTAGCCCCCTTTTACCCTGTTCTTCAGTGGTCAGGACCCCCATGAACCCTCAGTCCAGCAGTGACACTGAGGTATTTAAAAACTCCAGCAGCACTGCTGTGTCTGATCCACTCGGACCAGCGCAACACACACTAACACACCACCACCACGTCAGTGTTACTGCAGGGCTGAGAATGATCCATCACCCAAACAGTACCTGCTTTGCTGTCTGGCATCATAATGTAAACTCAGCTGAACTATTTTGTAGCATTCAGCTAAGCTAACAGATACATATGTGGGTATTATTACACCATTTTATATTAACATTCCAAGAAAAAAGGGTGGATTAAAAGGGTGGATTAAAAGGGTGGATTAAAAGGGTGGATTAAATAGCTTCCAGACCTCCAGATTAAATGGCTTCTATTGTTTGTAGCTAAGCTAACATACTTTAGTCCATATTTATAGATAACAGTGAGTCATACAGTGTCAGAGACCACATAATCAGGTCTGTTAGAGATACTGAGCAGCTCCACATGGTCTGAGGCCATTGTTTGATGATTTAGGCCTGCAGTTACCACAATGCTAATCCGTGGACTATACTTGTTAGTTACATTAGCCTCGTAGCTTCGGCGTAAAAGGGTCATTCTACAGAAACGGCCACTTTTCTGTCTCTCCATAGGAGTCACTGGTGTTACTGGTCCTCATTGGTGTTGCACATAATAAAGGAACACCAGAGACATTTTTAATGAATAATGCATTTTACAAAACGGCTGCTACAGAGCATCAAACCACATGTAGTCAATCATGGAAAATTCACTAAAATATGGAATTTAATCCATTTGTATTCTATTTTATCACAATGACCTCAGAATAAAGTCGGTCACACCAGTGACTTCAGCTAAAAGCTTCATATGAAATCATGAGCTAAATGAGAAAATCTCTGATAACTGAAAGACACAGTGGACTCACCATGAGCTTTTCTTCATAGATCCTCAGAAAACGGGTAGAAGGAAGTCGAGTGATGTCATCAGTGTGACTTTTATTTCAAAATAAGAGATTTTTTATTATGCAGTAACACCAGTGACACGACTCCTGGGGAACTATCATTATATATTTTATAATGTTTATTTGTTTTCTTTATGTCATTTAATTTATATATTTCATAGTCATGTAGAGATTATTGCAGTTAAAATGGCAGAAAAACATGTTTTTTACCTCAAAATATGGCCTCAGCCTTTACATATGACTGTGGGGACGAGCTCTTCTGTGGTGCTTTGAATTCTATATGATTGACTTAAAAACCAATGTTGCTAAATTGAGGCTCAAGAAGGTGTAACTGTTAAAATAACATACTGGTTTATTTTAAAATCTAAATAAATTGTAGCTCTAACATGTTTTTCATGTGTAATATATCTGTAAAGGCAAGGGACACAAAAATGGACGTTTCTGTAGAATGACCCAAAACTAAGACGCGAATTTCAGACACCAAACATGCTCTGGTGGATTGACTACACAGAGAAACACTATCGCTTTAAGTGATTTGTCTTTGTTTCCGATGTCAAATTATAATTATAATCTGATTTCACGCTTGCGGCCCCATCTTAGGTCTCAGTGTTTCAGTTTTTGTTTCATGACAGCTTCTTCAAGCCTGATTTCACCAAATCTAGAGGTTCAGATGTTTTTAATCAGCACCAATTCCACTCATTGACAAAGAACAAAGGAAAGACTGTAGAAACCCACAGCTCTACAAAGGACAGCCGTGCTGAGACGGACGCCCTGAGATGGTGATCAGTCAATCAGTGGAATTAATGCGCGGGTGTGTGTTAGCTGGCTCTTTCACGTTCGTCAGGGCTCCGAGTGTAAGGGCCAGTGTCAGCTGAGAAAGAGACGAGCGATCAGCTGTCCTGTCCTGGACTCTCCGCTACCTCTGAGTGAACACGATAAGCTCGGCCGCTAAAACGGCTTCTTTAATTAAGTCGGCGCTGACAGCAGACAGGTGAGTCCGGCCAACTCTCCACAGCCCAGAGCCAAAAACATGAATAAAATAACAACAACCAAAAAAAATTAATTAAACACAAATCACTACAGGAGCATCAACAGAACATAAGCTGAACAGATTTAAAGGCAAACCTTCATGCTCTTCTTAAAAAGACACAAATACATAAGCTGTAGGCCTGGGCGATAAAATCATAACAGTAAATACTGTAATTTTTTTCCAATAACACACATTTCTGAAAAACTTGTTTATATATATATATATATATATATATATATATATATATATATATATATATATATGTATATACAGGTAAACATAGGTGTATATATTTATATATAAAAATGTTAGAAATATATTCTTAAATTATATACAGATTTTATTTTATTTATATGTTTACGTTATTTTTTTATAGATATTATTTTTTATTGTAAAATTAAAGAATTTAAATATCATAATTTTAACAAATTAGATTTTTTTTAAATAAGAATAATTTATATATATATATATATATATATATATATATATATATATATATATATGTGTATGTATATAATTTATATATAAAAATATATTTGCATTTTGTATATTATATATAAACAGAATCTTTAGATTTTTTATTTTAAAAATTAAAGACTTTAAACAATATCATAATTGTAACATATTTAAAAAAATATATATATATTATTTTTAATTTTAATATGTTAAAACTACGACGTTTGAATTCTTTCATTTTAAAATAAAAAATTTCTGAAGATTAATTTTATATAAATTATTTACAAAATATAATATTTTAAAAATAAATAACGTAAATATATAAACAAAATAAAATCTGTATATAATTCAATAATATATTTATAACATTTTTGTATATAATCATATACACCTGTATGTTTACCTGTATGTTTACCTTTATTGCCTGTTTATATACACATATCTACATGTACACATATAGCACTGACTCAAATCCGATCATCTGATATAGGATACAATAATTATCAATATAAAAATATATTAAGAAATCTCACGGCTCATATCGCCCAGTCCTAATACAGCGTAGAGAGAGGGGTGATGGAGAGGAGCGTGATGAAGAAGCAGAGAGCGGCAGGAGATCAGGCAGCGGGTCAGTGATCATGAGGGGAACCTCCTGCTTTAGTTAACAACCAGATCAGATCGGGGGGATGCTGGAGGAAGCCTGGTGACATCCCACCAGTCAGCCGAGGCGTGACGGGAGCGGAGGACGCGGAGCTGCTCATCAGGCGGCTCTTAATCTGCTGACAGCAGGACGGCGGCCAGAAAAGCCCCGATGAGGAAACGAGTGACAAAATAAAATAAAATAAAATAAAAGCCTGAGCGCTGATAGATATTCCGCGAGCGAGGCCGCACTCCTGGGGCTCCTGACAGATGTGCCGGAGATCAAAGTGGATTTTACTCCGGGCTGTGTGATAGGTGAGAGACAGGTGTGGGGGGGAAGGGGAGGATCTAATGGACAGGAGAAGGATGAGGCTGGGGCATGACAGAGAATCTCCAGCTACAGCGAGACTCTCCAGCTTTACTGTCAGAGTTCAGCTCAGGTGCTGGAGGCAGAGTGTCTGCAGGCGCCCTCAGCTCAGTTTAACACTCTCTGAGGCTTATTAACGCAACTTCACACGGAAGTTTAAGAGCAAAACCGCAGGAACTCAGCAATTTAACACTTATTAATACATTATATTTATTACTGTTATTATATAATGACATTCCCAGCCTTACAAATCTTATTATTCAGCATTCGCAACGATTACACTCTTCAAGGGTTCTTCAGTAAAAGGAATGGTTCTATTTAGAACCATGAGCTCTATATAAAACCTTTTGCATGGTTAAATGGCTCTTCAGATTGATGTGCTGTACATGTGTAAAATACTGTATGACTGTATGATGTTGCATATGGTTCCATAATGTGTGTGTGTGTATTTTTTCTTCCTCTCTCTCTTTCCTTCTTTCTCTCTCTTCGCTCTCTCACTCTTTTCCTCCACCTCTTCCCCCTGTCTCTCTCTCCCTCTCTCATTTCCTCCTTTTCATCTCTCTATTCACCCTTCTCGTCTCTCTCTGTATTTTCTTCCTCTCCTCACTTATTTTTTCTCTCTCTTCATCCTGACTCTCCATCTCGTTTCTTCCTCTCTCTCATTTCTTCTTCCTCCTCACTCTCTCTCTCTCTCCATCTTTTCTTCTTTTCTCTCTCTTATTCCTGTCTCTTCCTCTCTCTTTTCTTCCTGTCTCTCTGTCCCTCTCTCATTTCCTCCACCTCCTCTCCCTCTCTCTCTTTCTCTTCCTTTTGTTCCTCTGTCTTTTCCCTCTCTCTCTCCTTTCTGTCTCTCCCTCTCTCTTTTCTTCCTCTCTCTGTCTCTCTCCCTTTTGTTCCTCACTCTTTTGGTCTTCTCTCTCGTTTTTTCTCTCTCTGTCGTTTCTTTTTTTCTCTCTTCCTCCCTCTCTCTCATTTCCTTCTCTCCCTCTCTTTGCTCTCTCACTTTCTTCCTCCTCTCTCTCTCTCTCTCTCTCTCCCTATATATATATATATGAGCTCTGTTTCGAAAGCTGTGCTCAAACTTTTGACTGATTGATACTGAATCTACAGCAAAGACGTTACGCATGTTTTCATGTTCACCTCATGAACGGCGGCTCAGCTGAAACGATCCGCTGATCAAAATTCAAACCCTTCGCTCCTCACAGGGCCCAACTGCTCTGGTTGTTAACATCACAGGGACGGAGGCGTCGATGGCTCTTTTAAACCTGATCGAAATGACAGAGACTGACGCTCGAGCACACACCAAACGTACCTTTCGCCCTTGTCAGTGAACAAAGGTATTCCCTGGCTTAGAAGTGTGGGATAATTAATGGTGGAGACAGCAGACAAAGGCCGGTGAAAGGAGGAGGAGGAGCACAAAACCCCCAAAAAAAAACATCTCTGGCCGGCCCAAAGTAGCCGAGAGATTTCTCCAGGTTAGTCGATACAATAGAGAAACAGGAGAGCACTCACTGGACTGAGCGGTCCGGGCTTCAATAGGCTTGGTGAAGACCCCGAGGCCCATTTCGGAGCGAGCCGCCAGGGAGAACTTGTACAGCGTGTCTGGCTTCAGGCCTTCTACAGCGTAGGAACCAGCCGGGTTGAAGGTGACATGGATCTGAAAGAGGAAAAAAGTAAAGCGTCTTTAAAGAGCCCATATCAGCAGTGGTGGACAGTAACTAAGTAAATGTAATGTTACTGTACTTACGTAGTTTTTTGTGTATCTGTACTTTACTGAAGTTTTTCCATTTTGGGCGACTTTTTACTTTCACTCCTACATTTCAAAGTCAAATATCTCACTTTTTACTCCACTACATTATGAGAAATCTGTCGTTCCTTTTGGTTTATGTGTGTATAAAAACATAAGTCAAAATGAAAGAAGCGCAAAGCAACAACACCAATCAGGGCACAGCGGTCGCTTAGTTTTGAGCTTGTTTTGACCTGTTGGTCATACCGACCCACTGCAGCACACGGTTCAATGTCAGTGCAGCAGCGTAAAATTTTGGGAGAGTCTATTCAACATAAATGATGAACTAACCTAACTTTGTGTAAATAGACCACAATATAGAAATATGTACTCATATGCAGTTGAGACTGACGTGTCTTTTTCTGAATTTATACAAACACATTTCATTTTATAGTAAATTAGTTTTGTCTAGTTTATGTTTATGAACAGAGACCTACAGATGCAGTTTAGTAAAGGAAACTCATCTGTGAATCTAAATTTAAAGTTTTTATTAAACTTAAACTTGTAACTAAGTTGCAAATAAATCTTAAACTGAAACTTTGCTTGTTTGCAAAAAGTGATTTCAGAGCCACTCAGTTCTACCAGATGGAAATTGTTTACCTTCAGTGTTTTGTGCTTATGATAATTTTAATAGACATCAGCGTCACTAATTAATGACTCTATTAAAAGACTGGTTTACCAAGAGAGACACTGGAGTATTTTCACCTAAAATGAGTTAATGAAGCGAGTCTTGTTACAAAAATGAAAATAGGACATTAGAGTCATAATTAATCTTTTAGTACTTTTACTTTCAATATTTAAGTACATTTGAGGGAAAATACTTTTGTACTTTTACTCAAGTGGAGGTCTAAAGGGAGGAACTTCTACTTTTACTGCAGTAATATTTTACCTTGGGTATCTCTACTTTAACTCAGGTACATGTTTTGTGTACTTCGTCCACCACTGCATATCAGCAAAACATCTCTCACTTTTTATATGATAGACAAGTTTTCGCTGTATATAAACATTATTTCAAAGCACATCATTCACTTCCCAGTCCATACAGTCCATATACTGAAACTAAGCTGCATAAACAGCATTCACTGTTTTTTGTGATGTCCATACATCTGTCTATTTGGCCTACATTCAACCTAAAGCTACAGGGAGTGTTTCAGCTGTTTTCTGAATGACTGCACAGCCAATCAGAACACAGCTCATTTATATGTAGTTGTGTGCATGAATTTGTGCGCCCCTGATCAAACTGCATATCGCTGCTCATATCTTCATTTTTGTCATTTTTCAGTTTTTGACATGATCTGGAAGTGCTTGTTGCTCTTTAAATTGTGTGTAAATTTCATGATGAATGGACCAAAAAAAATGGCCCAAAACGATGTGGAAAAAGTCTGGTTCCATTGACTTACATTAAAAGTAAAGTATGTTTTTTCCTTCTCCTGTAAAGTTACCATTTTGGAGAACACGAGGTTTTGATTCGACAGCAATGATATACATCTGGGGCTAATGAGAGTGCGGAGCTACAGACAATAGACAGGTGAGACAGACGACAAGAAGGCAGGATCTAACAACAAAAGCACATGGCCTAAGTAAAGAAAAGCAGATGGAACAAGAAAACAATAGATGAAACAGAGAAAGACGAGGACAGGGCAAGACAGGACGTTACAATAAAAACACAGCGCTCTGCTCTACTCCGCCCACCACTGCCCCCCATTGTACGAATGAACCTAAAACAGCCTAAAATAACGAATAAAGAATTTCTTCTCTTTACTGAACTACTTACAGCGCAGTGTGGCGACGCCACAGTACAGATTATTGTGCTATATTTATACTTCTTAATCACACTGTTAACATGAGACATCCAGCTCACTCCCAGCAGTGAACGTCACACTAACGCAGTGCTAGACAGCATGTGTCCCCAGAGAGGCTGCAAACAGAGCCCCGCCAGACTGGACCCTGACTAGGGCTGCAATGCATGCCCTTCATACCTTGACTTAGACCACCTGCAAAAAGCGCTGGTCAACCTGCACATGCACTGTGCTGTTACCCCCTAGCCCACCGCTAAGAGAGGCTGGCGGCCCTGGCAGACGGAGCAAAGCCGTGCTGTGAGAACCGCAGCGCTCTGTGAGGAATACATGGTATTCGGGACAGCCCTGTTAATTCGACCCACTTTTTCAAACTGTATATAACTTAACCTTTTATTCTCCTGGGTATATATTTTTGTTGTTCCATCTCAATTTACATGCCCAAATCGCAAGGCTAATTATTCAGTAACAGTCATTTTTATTTTATTTTTGGTAAAAGCCCCCCTCAAATTAACCCCTTATGCTCCAAGGTATATTTTGGATTTTCCATCTGCATTTACATGACCAAATCTTAAGACAAACTCTTCAGTACCTGCATGAAATAAATGTAAAATGTTGGTGTTTTTAGTAAAACCTCCCCTCAAATTAACAGAACATGAGTTTTATGATCACACATATTGCTATATGCTTACAATTTACTGCTGAGAGCCAAATTTGTGGAAAAATGAGTTCAGCTTCTTTTATTATAAGGGTTTAAAATTACATCACCCATCTATTTGACTGGAAAGAAGACAGTTACAGCTCTCATACGACCCCCACCTTTAGAATGTAGCTTATGAAATATGAAGGTTATGAAGAATATGACGAAGTGCGTTTTGGAACCACCGGTGGTTCCAAGGAGTTAAAAAGGTTAAAGACACAGCAACAAAGCCTATTTAATACAAAGTGATCTGTAAAAATGAACTATGGCCACTTTTGGTGCCTGAGGTCACAGAAATGTCAAAAGAGCAAAAAAAGAACAAATATTATACAACAAATATAGCGTATATTGGCCCTTTAACCTTTTCAGCTCCTTGGGACCACCGGTGGTTCCAAAACGCACTTCGTCATATTCTTCATAACTTTCATATTTCATAAGCTTCATTCTAAAGGTGGGGGTCGTATGAGAGCTGTAACTGTCTTCTTTCCAGTCAAACAGATGGGTGATGTCATTTTAAACCCTTATAATAACCACAATTTTTTTTCTACTGAAAGTCGACCCATTTTTCCACAAATCTGGGCTATAAACTATAAACAGATGGCGTCTCTTCAGTGATCTGCTCTGTAAACATTATTTTTATAAAATAATACAAAGAGCGTCTGAGATTTTTGGCTTTCAGCAGTAAATTGTAAGCATATAGTAATATGTGTGATCATAAAACACATTTCTGTTAATTTGAGGGAAAATTTTACCATAAATAAATAAATAAAATAAAATAAAATAAAAATTTACATTTATTTCATGCAGTTACTGAATAATTTACCTTACGATTTGGTCATGTAAATTCAGATGGACAAACCAAAATAAACCCTGGAGAATAAGAGGTTAAAGCTTCCCGGCCTTCACTCGAAGGCATCCTTATCTTGGACCCGTGACCGAAGGACCTACAGTTGTTCCCCAGTACTGCATTTTTGTTGTTGAGCGTTTAGCATTAGAATACAGACGCAGCGTCCAGAATAATGAATGATCAGAGCATTCAAAAGGCATCTGCTTGCAATGTGGCCCGAATTACCGTCCCCTCCAAAGTCTTTTGCCAAGAACTGGCTCTGTTGTCAGCGGGCATTGATTAAAACATGCTTTTTAAAGCCAAAACAACAATCTTCAGGGCTAAATTCTGGAAATCAACCGACTTCCAGACTTTTACTGCCCGCGGCCGTTTCATGAAAATGTCAATTTTTGCTATCTTTGATTCGCAGCCATGGCCCACAGTCGCGGCGCTGTACATTCAATAGCTCTCCCACATGTACGCCCATGCGCATCAATAGAGAGCGGGAGAACTGTTGCTGTCTGGAACGGCGCCATACCTTGTTCTCTGATCCGGCCTCCCAGTACTGAAGCTCGTACTTGGTGATCGGTTCTTGGACGGGCAAGAGCCACTTCAGCATGATCCGCGTGTCCAGTTCAGCTTCTGCTTCAAAACCGGACGGCTGCGCCGGGACTGGATCGGAAGGAAAAACAAAGGCGGTTTGCAGAGAGATTTAGGATCAACTGCACAAACAAATCAAGAGCATAAGAGACATCAGAGGTGCTCCTCTGACACCCTGTGGTCCAAATGATGGTACACTAATCACAGCTTTGGAATATGGTCACAAATTAACATAACAATTTTATGATAGAACATCTTTAGAAACGGTAACAAATGTCCGTTCAAGTTAAAACGTTAAATGCTAACAAATTAAGTGACCTAAATCTTTTCCATATCAGGGTAAACACATCCCTTACCAGCGAGTCTCGAGTTTAAAGCTTTAGCATTAGCTAGAAAACAAACAGTCTCTAATTTGGCCATGATGCCATCAGACCAGCTGCAGTGGTGAAGCTTTTGCTCCACTAAACTTTAGCAATGTAAACCGGCATAAACCAGCAAAACCAACATGTGTTGTGTTTTGGCTGCTGCTATGCTGGTCAACTAGCATGACCATACTGGGTGACCAGCTTAGCCAGTTCCAGGCCAGCAAAACCCAGCTTGGACCAGCTTAGACCAGCATGGACCGCATGCTGGTCTGTGCTGTTTTTGTCAGCAGGGAAACGTTAGCAATGTAAATGCTAGCTTAAGATTAGCAATGTAAACATGAGCTAAATGCTAGCATGGTAATATTAGCCAAACATTAGCAATGTAAATGTTATCTAAACATTAGCAATGTAAACATTAGCTAAATGCTAGCAATGTAACACTAACCAAACATTAGCAATGTAAACATTAGCTAAATGCTAGCAATGTAACACTAACCAAACATTAGCAATGTAAACATTAGCTAAATGCTAGCATGGTAATATTCGCCAAACATTAGCAATGTAAACATTAGCTAAATGTTAGCATGGTAATATTCGCCAAACATTAGCAATGTAAACATTAGCTAAATGCTAGCATGGTAATATTCGCCAAACATTAGCAATGTAAACATTAGCTAAATGCTAGCAATGTAAGACTAACCAAACATTAGCAATGTAAACATTAGCTAAATGCTAGCATGGTAATATTAGCCAAATATTAGCAATGTAAACATTAGCTAAATGCTAGCATGGTAATATTAGCCAAACATTAGCAATGTAGCACTAGCTAAACATTATCCATGTAAAAACGAGCTAAACTTCAGCAATAACGGCTCCAAAAATGTTCTGTGATTATGTATGAAAACCCTTGGTGAGCTACAAACATTTAAAACGTGTTCTAGATAATCTAATAAACAGGCTGCAGCACATTAACAATAAAAGGCCTTTGGATTTGAGGATGAGGTTCAGGTTTAAGTGCCTGTAAATTCTCTTGCAGACCAGCTCACATCAGTATCACAGCAAAGGGGCCACCAGCTCCAAGACTTTCCCACTAACGTTCTGTGACCTGACTTGCTGCTCCTGCTTTCACTGAAACAGACGAATACGGACGCATCCCGGCCGGAGAACCTCACCTCCTTGCTGTGTCTTGACCTGCAGAACGTCAGACGGAGGTCCATCGCCCACAGAAGTAAAGCCCAGCACTCTGAGGCTGTAGGTGACGTCGGTGATGAGGCCGGAGATGGTGGTGAGTCGGCTGTCGTCGGTGTTGTGTTTGTGCCAGGCGCTGAGCTGGGCGTCCGGATCGGTGGTGTAATAGATCCTGTATCCTCTGATCTGCCCGTTCGGCTCCTCTGGAGGTTCCCACTGGACCAGCATGGTGCTGGCGCTCAGCATGCGGGCCTGGACGCTGAGCGGCGGAGAGGAGGGCGCCTGCTCGCCCGTACGGGTCTCCACGGGGTCGCTGGGCGGCCCTCGGCCGATGTTATTGACCGCCATGACCCTAAACTCGTACTCCGAGTAAGGGCTGAGGCCCCCGATGCTGTAGCGGGTCGTGGCCACTCCGTCCACCTCCTGGAAGCTGTTGTCGGTGGCTTTGGAGCGATACTGGATCATATAATAGGAGACAGGCTCAGGGTTACCAGAGTCCCACGTCAGAGTGACGCTGGTGGCCGTGGTCTCCGTCACGGTCAGCGACGTAGGAGGTTTGGGGAGAGCTAAAGGGTTAAAAAAGAGAGAGAGGAGGTCAGTGCAGAGTCCTCGGAGTAGTTGGTGAGTGTGCATGTCCACTCTGGTCTGTAAAAAGCTGCCGTGTTTCCTATCACTGTATAAAAGAAGCTCCACGCTGCCTTTCATTCCAAGGTTCCAAGTTCCAAAGCAGTCTAATGAAAATCAACACAGGTCAATGCAAAGCGAATGAAGAGTGGTCAGTGGTCAGGACCCCCATGGACCCTCACAGAGCAGGTACTATTTGGGTGGTGGGTCATTCTCAGCACTGCAGTAACACCGACATGGTGGTGGTGTATTAGTGTGTGTTGCGCTGGTCTGAGTGGATCAGACACAGCAGTGCTGCTGGAGTTTTTAAACACCTCAGTGTCACTGCTGGACTGAGAATAGTCCACCAACCAAAAATATCCAGCCAACAGCGTCCTGTGGGCAGCATCCTGTGACCACTGATGAAGGACTAGAGGATGACCAACACAGACTGTGCAGCAGCAGATGAGCTATCGTCTCTGACTTTACATCTACAAGGTGAACTGGCAAGGTAGGAGTGTCTAATAGAGTGGACAGTGAGTGGACACAGTGTTTAAAAACTCCAGCAGCACTGCTGTGTCTGATCCACTCGTACCAGCACAACACACACTAACACACCACCACCACATCAGTGTCACTGCAGCACTGAGAATGATCCACCACCCAAATAGTACCTGCTCTGTGAGGGTCCATGGGGGTCCTGACCACTGAAGAACAGGGTAAAAGGGGGCTAAGAAAGTATCAGAGAAACAGATGGACTACAGTCTGTAACTGTAGAACTACAAAGTGCACCTATATAGTAAGTGGAGCTGATAAAATGGACAATGAGCGTAGAAACAAGGAGGTGGTCAGAATGTTATGCCTGATTGGTGTATTAAGGCTTATTATTCAGTAACTACAGGGGCTTCAATGCAAACTGCCTGAGCTATTCTTAGGTTATAGAAGTGTGTAATAAACCTGCTGGTGGGTTAACAGTGAAAGAAACCGACCTGAGAGGTGAGTTTCTGAGCGGCTGACTAGATGAAAGTTGGGTTTATAGATGGAGATGAAAGAAACATCAGTGACTCAGATTACAATTCACATCGATCAGGGCCCACGGTCAGTTCTACGTCTTATTCAGGTAAACTCGAGGCACCAAGTCCAAAGTACTAGGTTATTAGTGTGGGATAACATGATGGTAAGTTCCAAGACAGCCTGACAAAAATACACTAAAATGCCTAACGGGTTCTAGATATTGACTGTGTAGTATGTTGTACAAACTCCACAGTACATTGTCATTATTTGGGGCTTAATTCTGGGTAATTATATGATAGAAAAAGAAGAACCACACAGTGTGTAGTATCTTTGTAATGTGTGCTGCCATTTACACCATATAACCACGGAGGTGTTTATTTACTGTCCTGCTTAAATGTGAGACATTACAGTGAAATCTAGTGCCATATATTTACTAAAAATAAAGCGAGTTCTCTGTAGATTATTTGTTAACTTATTTTCAATTAGAAAATCAACAATTTGACTTGGGTTGTTCAAATTTTTGCATTCAACTGCATGTGTAATACAGAATAAATAAAACAAATATATAAATAAATAAATAAAGTGACATGTGAAGTCAGCAAATGAGCCATCACACTGCAAAAAATATCCTAGCAAGTGAAATTTTCTTAAATACAGTTAATATATCTAATATTTCTCGTTATGAGATTGTTGTAAGAGTACTGTAAGATGATTTAACCTGTTTCTCTGCAGTTTTTCTTGCTTTTAAGTAATATAATCTTATTAAAGTGTCTTATTCCATTAAACAAACACGGTACGTTTTAAGAAATAATGAATGTAATTTTGCTTATATATCTAATATTTCTCATAATGAGACTGGTGTAAGAATCTTGTAGGATTATTTAACTTATTTCTAGACATTTTAAGTGATTTTATCTTATGAAAGGGTCTTATTCCACTGGCGGATCACTTTACTCGTTTTAAGCATTATTTTTGGAAATAAGCAAAATTATATTTATTATTTTTTTAAACGTACAATGTTTTGTCCAATGAAATAAGACACTTTAACAAGATAAAATTACTTAAAATAAGTAAAAATGAAGAGAAACAAGTTAAATCATCTTATAATATTCTTATCACAACCTCATATTGAGAAAAATGTTATATATAAGCAAACTATATATTATTTTTTTAAACGTACAATGTTTTGTCCAATGAAATAAGACACTTTAACAAGGTAAAATGACTTAAAACAAGTAAAAATGAAGAGAAACAGGTTAAATCATCTTCTAATATTCTTCTAAACAACCTCATATTGAGAAATATTAGGTATATTAACTGCATCTAAGATGTTTTTACTTGCTAAGATCTCATTTGCAGACGGACAGGCAGACAGACAGACAGGCAGACAGCTCGTGCCGTCTCATCATTGTGTCTTTAAGATTTTGCTTCTGGCCTCCAGATAAACGTCTGTGACATTCTCCGAGTCCATATTGATTGGCGAGGTGCAAAGTGCAATCAATAGAGGCAGCGGCTGATAATGCTGGCCGAGTCTGAGTCTGTAACGATGTCTGGTTCAGCTTTGAGGGAAAGTTGAGGGAAACCGACAGAAAGTAGGTAAACAACAACAACAGAACAACAACAGGACAACAACTCACTGTTAACTCACTATTACAGCTTCAATCAACTCAAAAAGAAGCCATTCTGGAAGCGTTTTAGATGGAAATGTATAAAGAAAGAGGACAAAAGGCCTCCGGGTCAGATATGACCTAACCAGGAGGATTTAAAGGTCAGATTTGGAAAGGAAAGGTCAACACAGGTCAGAACAGGTCGATACAAAGTGAATGAAAAGGGTTAACAGTGGAAGAAACCAACCTGAGAGGTGAGTTTCTGAGTGGTTGGCTAGATGGAGGTTGAATTTATAGATGGAGATGAAAGTGAGAAACAACAGAGAGAAAACAGTGAAAACGACCGCAGTGGATTCACAAACGCAACAGACACAGTGTGTCAGACACACATCTACACACAGGAAGCCGCACCAACACAAACAGAGCGGACACCACAAACCCACAACATCACACCATACACAGCCCAAACCTTTGACTACACACTAATAAAGACGGTTCTTCAAGGGTTCTTTAGTAGAGAAAATCATTCTATATAGAAACATAAACAATCAAAGAACACTTTGCATTATTAAAGGGTTCTTTGCATCATTGAAGGGTTCTTCAAACTGATGGAGAATGTGTTTAATATGGTTCTATTTAAAACCTTTTAAAAAAGGGGTCTATATAGCACCAAAAAGGGTTCTTCTATATTCACCATGTCAAGCCTGTAGCAACAGAAGAACCCTTCTGGGTGCTATAAAGAACCATTTTCAATAATGAGTTCTTTACATTGAGGGAGCATGTGTTTTATATGGTTCTATGTAGAACTTTTTTTTGAAAAGTTTCTATATAGAACTGTCCACTGAAAGGTTCTTCAGGGAACCAACCATAGTCACTCTTAAAATTATGGCTTTTCAGGGTTTTTTAGTAAAGAAAATGGTTCTATATAGAACCGTGAACACTTAAAGAACCCTTTGCATCCTCGTTCACTGCCAGTTTGAGTCGTTTGTTCATCAGCGGAGCGGCTTCACTCAGCTCACGTCACACGGTGTCAGCTGGTGTCGGAGATCAGTGTCAGTGAATTTTTATGAGGTCGAGTACAAGCTAATGAGCACAACATCGGCCCGATACTCGATACCAGTATCGGTATCGATGCATCCCTAATATAAGCATTGCGATCGATACTGATTTTAAGAAGCTAACATGTCATTTTTAAATTAAACTTGACTTTTTAATAACTGTTCTTCAATAATAAGTCAGTGTCAACAGAAATGTTAATACATAATAAGCTATAACGACCTGTTTATGGTAAATTTTTGTCACAAAATTACATTGAATAACTGTTTAATCAGAGAGATTTGACCAGCGCTTTTTGAGTATGAGCCCCTCTCAAAAACTCACAGAAGAACATGTGACATAAACATATGTAAAACTCAAACTTCATGCTCCAGCTTTTTTTAAAACATTGCGCCGCTTTAACTGAAAATATGAACAAACATCATCTAGAAGATGAACAATATTTAATTCCTTCATTTCGTCAAGCATGTATTCGGTTTGGCTCGCTTATTTCCGGTACCGCCGTCTGTTTTCGCACATGCTCAGACTGGTAAATCCGAAAGAAATCAGAGTAAGAGTTTACAGCACTGAGAAATCTGATTACTGAGCTAAAATCCAGCTCTCTTTATCAGATTTCTAGACTTCACTCCGATCTAGGAAACCGGCTGTTTACATGACCGTTTGAATAATCAGATAACTGCATGGAGACACAGAGCTGTATGTACAGTACTGTGACAAATTAGTTTAACTTTATTATACACTGATTTGTCACAGTGCTGTACATACAGCTCTGTGTCTCCATGCGGTGCAACACTACATTCAGGAAACCAAACGCTGACAAACTGAGGGATGAGAGATGAAAGATAGCGAACACAGGTGAGAACATGCGCTCACAACATCAGTACCGCCGGGCTAACGCCAAGATTAGCCACTAGCCTCCAGATAAATGTCTGTGACATTCACCAGGTCCATATTGATTGGCGAAGTGCAAAGTGCAATCAATAGAGGCAGCGGTTGATAACGCAGGCCGGGTCTGTCGGGGGGGCTGAGGGATGCAGAACAGCGTCTGGTTGGACTCTGAAAGGTCTGGTGGGACCAGAACCCACCCGGCCTGTTCCAGACAGCTTCTCTGGGTAAACACATGCTCGGAATAATCTAAAGAGCAAGCGAGGCTTTTCATTTTCTCCAGAAGGTCCACAGTAGAAAGGCAGGAAGTCCCAAAAGCTCACAATCAACACAGAACGAGGGCTGAATGTTTTTTAGCCATATCTGACCGGACTCTTAAACAGGTCAGTACCTGGGGGGCCTGAAAAATATCAGTATCTCTGTTTTTAAAGGGAAAATCAAACCGACACCAGGCCCGTTACTGCACATGTAGTCAATCAGCCAAGACATGTTTGGCGTCTGAAGTTTGCTTCTTTAGTTTTGCACTGGAGCTACGAAGCTAATGTAGCCAATTAGTAACTACCATCATGCTTAAATCATCTCAGACGTGCCTCAAAGTCGTTCAGTAATCTTTATCAGACTAATACACACCGTATGACACACTGAGTGTGTTTACATGCACTCAATAATGCAACCATAATCAGATTTCTGCAGTTATCTGATTATTCAATTGGTCATGTAAGCAGTTGATTTCTTAGATCGGAGTAAGGTCTAGAAATCCGATTAAGAATCTGATAAAGAGGCTGGATTTTAGCTAAGTAATCAGATTTCTCAGTGCATGTAAACTCTCAGTCTGAGCATGCGCAGGAACAGACCGCGGTACCGGAAATAAGCGAGCAAATACAAATACATTCTTGACAAAATGATGGATTTAAATCTTCTAGATGTTCATATTTTCAGACAAAGCGGTGATGTTTTAAAAAAAGCTGCAGCTTGAAGTTTGAATTTTACATTATGTTTACGTCACGTCTTCTGTGAGTCTATTGGCTGGTTGTAAATGTAATGTAGACCTGGAGTTTCCCCATTATCTGATTACTCAAGTGTATGTAAACGCGTTGATCGGATTACTGACAAAATCTAATTTTCTGCAGTTATCGGATTAGCAAGTGTATGTAAACATGCTCACTGTTGTCTATAAATATGGACTAAAGTACGCCAAATAGCTAAAAACAGAAACAGCAGCCACTTTCGCTGCCGAATTTTGTCTGTACTTCTTGCATTTCTTCTTAGCTAGAACCGCAGTTCCAGTCTTAAAACTAAAAAAAGCTAATTTCAGGCACCAAACATGTTCGGCAAGGAGCTGATTGGCTCTTTAATGACCTTATAATTTAGAGAGTCTAGTGACATTGAGGGGAAATTGTACACAGGACAAAACGGATCGGATCTACAATATTTTTGTTTACCAGTGTGATGAGGACGGTTTTTAAAAATCTGATTCACTTTTGTCAAAGTAAAACAACTCAGACCCGGAGAACCTCATACAGGCATAACACCAACTACACAGCCAAAGATTTAGCAAGTGAAAACATCTTAAATGTACTAAATATATCTAATATTTTTTTCAGTGTGAGGTTGTTGTAAGATTATTAAAAGATTATTAAATTTATTTCTAGCCATGTTTTAAGTAACTTCATCTCATTAAAGTGTCTCCATCACCCTTGTAATTTCTGAAATGTAATTTATTTTCTGAAAACATGTAAAATGATCTGTGAATGGGACACTTTCTCCAGATAAAATGACCTAAAACATGGAAACATGCATAGAAATTGGTTAAATAAAAATGTTTGATTTGGATTTTTAATTATTCAAGAAAAAAATGACGTATAAATTGCACAAACACTGACTTAGCAAGACTTCATTTCAAAGATTTTGCAGTTAATGCCCTCATAACACCCATATGCAGCCAAGTGAATAAGGGGGAAGCGCTCTGGCTGATGTAAACGCAGCGTAAGAGCTGTTCTGTTTGCATCCAGGCAACGTAACTAACGACGTTACCGAGGAGAAGGTATGTGTGCGGTCACTATGCCTGTGGATTCTCACTCAGGCCAAGCTGAGGCCGAGTGGTCTTACCTTTGACTGACACTTGTGCAGTGGTCTCGATCATGCCCAGAGAGGAAATAGCCACGCAGGTGTAGTTAGCCGACTGGCGGATGTTGGTCAGTTCCAGAACGTTCCGGCCAATCGGCATCTCCTCTTCCTTGGTCAGTTCCACCTCCCCCACCATCCACTTGACGTAGGGCATGGGTGCCCCGACGGCCACGCAGGTCAGATTTATACTGCCCCCAGGGCATCACCTCGTGGTTCATGGGCGGAATGGAGAAACGGGGCGGGACGCGGCGCACTGGGGGAAAATAAAGGCCAAAGTGAGATGCTGTGCAAGTTTATTTACATTTTTAATAGCATATTAGAACATCTATGTCTGCAAACAGACAAGAGAACCAATGATTAATCATAACAATACCTTGTACTGGAGCTATAATGCTAACGCAACAAGCAATGGAAGCTAACACACTGATTAGCATCAAGAACCGTCCGTTTTTAAAGAAAACTATGTTGAACAGTGTCAGCCATGCTGAAAAAGGGGCGGTTAGGTTTTGCTTTCAAATGGGTAATTAGCTCAAAGGATCCTTTACACTGTGATATCAACCCATTAAAAAAGCCAAAACACATTACAACTTCATTAGGAACCAACAGAAACACTTAATGGTTCTATGGGTTTTTTCAGCAGGGAGAAACCACACCAGCAAGATAGATTATAGATATGTGAGGCAAGTGTGACGATTTATGTAGGGTCATTCTACAGAAACGTCCATTTTGTGTCCCTAGCCTTTACAGATATATTACACTTAAAAACATGTTAGAGCTACAATTTATTTATATTTTAAAATAAACCAGTATGTTATTTTAACAAGTGCACCTTCTTGAGCCTCAATTTAGCAACACTAGTTTTTAAATCAATCATATAGAATTCAAAGCACCACAGAAGAGCTCGTCCCCACAGTCATGTGTGAAGGCTGAGGACATATTTTGAAGAAAAAAAAAACACGTTTTTCTGCAATTTTAACTACAATAATCTGTAGTCTGTACATGACTATGGAATATATAAATTAAATGACATAAAGAAAACAAATAAATATTATAAAATATATAATGAGAGTTGTGGTCCCCAGGAGTCGTGTCACTGGTGTTACTGCATAATAAAAAATCTCTTATTTTGAAATAAAAGTCACACTGATGACATCACTCGACTTCCTTTTACCTGTTTTCTGAGGATCTATGGAGAAAAGCACATGGTGAGTCCACTGTGTCTTTCAGTTATCAGAGATTTTCATTCAGCTCATGATTTCATATGAAGCTTTTAGCTGAAGTCACTGGTGTGACCGACTTTATTCTGAAGTAACTGTGATAAAACAGAACACAAATGGATTAAATTCCATATTTTAGTGGATATTCCATGATTGACATCATGTGGTTTGATGCTCTGTAGCAGCCGTGTTGCAAAATGCATTGTTCATTAAAAATGTCTCTGGTGTTCCTTTATTATGTGTAACACCAATGAGGATCAGTAACACCAGTGACCCCTATGGAGAGACAGAAAAGTGGACGTTTCTGTAGAATGACCCATTTATGCAGTTAGCAAGCTGCTAATCGCTGAGGTATGAGTTTACATTACTTGTTAGCCTCGTGGCTGGACAGAGGTGTCGCTATGGTTTAAAATGCAGATCTAAGATGATCAGAATGATGCTAACTGCATGCCTGCCGTCTCACTTGCCTCAGACCGTGTGGAGCTGTTTAGTGATCTCTAACACGCTGTATTATGCCGTTTCTGACATGGTGTGACACTTTTAATCTGGTAAGATGCACAAAATCACATTTACTGATGCTAATAAGTGTTTCAAGCACATTTCCTACAACAAGGAAAGAACTTGACTCACTAAAATCACTTAAAACAGGTAAAATATGTAATATTTCACTTATTTTAAGTCATAATAAACTTACACCAATCTGAAAATGAGAAATGTTAGACACGTCGACTAGATTTAAGATCATTTCACTTGACAGGATAGCATTTTTTGCAGTGTAGCTTCCATTATTTACAGCTACATTAGCCTCGTAGCTCAAGCGCACAACCGAAGCAACTCCAGTCTATTAGATCTTCTCGAAAAAGCAAGCGACACTGAAAAAAAGCAACACTAAGCTTAAGTTACTTGATTCACATGTGCGTAAACATCCGCATTAATACATCTTACACCCACATTATTGTTTCCTTTCAGTTTATTTGTTTATTTAACCATCCTGCTGTAATTTATCTTAGTTGTGGAAATGATGTAAATAATAAAATCAGTAAATTCAGCACAGAGCTGGTTTTCTGCTGGAAGCTGCAGTGTGTAGAGGGTCTTTGTCAGATTTCGGAGGTGGGTGGGGGGTGATGTGAATCTGCTGCTGGATCGAGCCCCTGTCAGAGGCCGTGGGACACACATTGTTCACCGCTCTTTCTTTCTCTCTCTCTCTCTCTCTCTCTCTCTCCTCCTTCGCTCTGATATGCAGATAAGCCGACATTAAAAAGGTTCCCATGGAGACGGTAGGGTGACGTTTTACTGGGACCACAGAGAAAGAGAGAGAGAGAGAGAGAGAGACAGTAAAAAAATGAGAAAGATAACGGAGAGACAGAAGAATTAAGGAGCGTTAAGAGAGCGAGAGAAAGAAAGAGAAGGAGAGAGAAAAATGAGAGAGACAGAGACAGAGAGTGAGTGAGTAAAAGAAAACGAGAGAAAGATAAAAAGAAAAAGACACTTAATTAATGAGAAGAGTGAAAAAAGAGACAAAAGGAGAGACAGAAAAGAGAGAGACAGAAAGAAAGAGAGCAAAAGAAAATGAGAAATAAAGAGAGAGAAGAGAGATAGAGACGAATTAAGGAAATAGAGTGAGAGAAAGAAAGAAGAGAGAAAAGAAAGACAGAAAAAGGGTAAAGAGAGAGAGTAAAAGAAAATGAGACAGAGACAAAGAGAAAAAGCAGAGAGAGAAAGAGAGAAAGAGATAAAGAGATAGGGGTAAAGAGAGAGAGGAGAGAGAGAGATAGAGAGAGAAGGGAAAGAAAGTGTGGGGGTAAAGAGAAAGAGGGGAGGGGGAGGGTAAAGAGATAGAGGTAGAGAAAGAGATAGAGAGACAAGGGAAAGAAAGCGTGGGGTAAAGAGAAAGAGAGGAGAGAGAGAGATAGAGAGAGAGGGAGGGAGAGGGTAAAGAGATAGAGGTATAGAAAGAGATAGAGAGACAAGGGAAAGAAAGCGTGGGGTAAAGAGAAAGAGAGGAGAGAGAGATAGAGAGAGGGAGGGAGAGGGTAAGAGATAGAGGTAGAGAAAGAGATAGAGAGAGAAGGAAAGAAAGCGTGGGGGTAAAGAGAAAGAGAGGAGAGAGAGAGATAGAGAGAGGGAGGGAGAGGGTAAGAGATAGAGATAGAGAAAAATAGAGAGAGAAGGGAAAGAAAGAGTAGGGTAAACAGAGAGAGGGAGAAGGAGAGAAAGAGAGAGAGAGAGAGAGGTAGGGAGAGGGGGAGGGAGGGAGGGAGGGAGAGCGTAAAGAAATAGAGAGAGAGAGAGAGAGTGAGAGAGGGTAAAGAGAGAGAAAGATCGAGAGAGAGGGTAGAGAGAGAGAGAGGGTAAAGAGAGAGAGAGAGTAAAGAGAGAGAGAGAGAGAGAGAGAGAGAGAGAGAGAGAGAGAGAGAGAAGGGTAAAGGAGAGAGAGAGAGAGAGAGAGAGAGAGAGAGAAAGAGAGAGAGGGTAAAGGGAGAGAGAGAGAGAGAGAGAGAGAGAGAGAGAGAGAGAGAGAGAGAGAGAGAGAGGGTAAAGGGAGAGAAAGAGAGAGAGGGTAAAGAGAGAGAGAGAGAGAGAGAGAGAGAGGCCTATCTTGTTGGAGTCTGACCGAAATACTTTAAGGTTGGAATAAACAAGCTTTGGCTTTTTTGAGGGGAAACAAAGCGGGAAAAAATCTCCTGAGTGATTCGGCAGTTAAAGACGGCCTTTACCGATCTTTACCACCACCACCCGTCCTATTGTGGAGAGAGAGATAAAGAGAGGAGGTGAAGAGTTATAGAGAAGGGGTACAGAGATGGAGAGAGGACGAGAAAGAGAGAGAGGGTAAAGAGGGTGAGAGGCCTTTACCGATCTTTACCACCACCACTCGTCCCATTGTGCCTCTGTTCCTTTACCTCTCTCTACTGAGAGGCTCTGATAGGCTGTTAGATGACTATCTGTGTGCTGAATGTTCTGGAAGTAGCCTCGGCTTAATTCTGATCCCAACCACAACTTTGCTCCCTGTTTCATTTGAAATGTGGAAACAAAGCTGCAGCTGGACGCCTAATGGACTTTCTTAACTCTGTGGCGTTAACGCACTGCTGCCTCCTGCGTCTCCATGGAGAAACGGACACCAGTGATAATTGGTTTTTGTGTCGGTCCCCATGAAAATGGATTTTCAAATATTTTAGAGCAACTAAGGCCAGACGGACATGACGGCCATGCTTGTTATCCAGCCTTCACTACAAGAAAGGCCTTGAGAAAGCAGAGAGGGGCCTTTGGAGGGGCCTTTGTTTTAATCAGACACAACACAGGATTCAAAATAACCCCCTTTAGCTTCTACACCGCCCAACCAAACTGGATTCAACACATATAGGCCCAGTCACATTTCACCCCTCGCCCCTAACACTTAGCCCTACCCCTCCGTTTTCCGTGTTCACATCTGGGGGTAGGGTGTCCCGATTCTTGTTGAGATAGAGGGGTAGGGCGAAGTGTTGGGGCTACATGACCCTCCAAACGGAGGTTTTTCAGAGACTCCAGCCAGAGAGTTATGAGAGGTAAGATGGCTGAACAAGAGACCAAAGAAACCTACAAACGTGAGAATTTTCTCCGTTAAAAATTACGATAATCACTGTATTTTCTTAGTTTAATGTTTTTTCAATTTATTATGGTCCTTTTCTTCATAACAATCACCAAAAAATCACTAATAGTATGCTAATATATCACTAGCTAGATAGCTAAAATTCCCGTTCCACCTTAAATAGTCCAGCAGTTTTGACGCCTGAAGCGCCAGAATGTAACTGCAGCTCAATTTAAGGTGGAACTGGAAATTTAGCTAGTTAGCTACCAAGACGTCAGCATACTGCTAGCAATTTTCTAAATTTGTTATGAAGAATTTATATTCCATTTAAGGTGGAACGGGAAAATTCGAACAAGAAGCTGGTGAATATCTGACGTCAGCTTCATATCACTGAAGAATTAGGGGTGGGTGATAATAAATAATTGCCCCCCTCTTTGAAGATCATATGATGCCCTAAATGTAACTAAAGCC